GGGCGGGTGGGGGTTATCCTATGTTGAAGTATTTGTGTTGTGTCTAGCATTGGTATATACCAGTAAGCTCCCATTGTTGCCAGTAAGCTTAACACTAAGGCTTAATTTATCACTATGGAATGGCTACACCTTTTAAGAGCGTAAAAGTAAATTTCTTGCTCTTAATATTCCAAGGACAAAGTGAATTTCACAAAGTTCGATGGTTATATCTTTCCATTGATTTTCTTTTGACAGAAGACAATTGAGAGGGAGGGAAAGTATACTAGGTTAGCTGTTCTTTGCAAACAAACAAGCAGACAAATGTCTTAATAAAGATCATGAATGAACATTGCTCCTTATATCTACTCATATGCCAGTCAAATCCTTCAAAGAAACCATGAACTTCATTTGGAGAAAAGTTAAATAAAGCAATGTAGATGTCCTCGTATTTTGGGTGCACTACTTAATTTTCTAAGCAGGCAAAGTATCATTTCAACTTCATCCCATGTGAAGACTAGATATTGCTTCATATGATTAAATTGTGTTTGTTGTAATTTTGATTCTCTAGAGCTGCTATTGTGATGCGTAGATGCTCCACTAAACATTTTAAACTCATTCTCTCATTTTGCTAATATTATTATTATGTGACAACAGCTTAATAGTTTAGTTTCAATTTTATATGCATTAGACAGTTGCTTTTTGGCTATAATGCTAATGTATTTATTCCAGTGTCAGCAAAGTGTCATAGTTTGCCATGCATACTATGTTACCATGCTCTTCAATTTTCTTGGCATTTCCTATTTATCTTTCAGATGTGGTATCCACTTTCAAAGACTTTGGCTGAAGAAGCTGCCTGGAAATTCGCAAAAGAAAACAACATTGACATGGTTACTATTAACCCAACAATGGTGATAGGACCTCTTTTGCAACCAGTCCTTAACACAAGTGCTGCTGCAATTTTGAAATTAATTAATGGTAATTTATATGTTATGTTATACATAATTTCTACTAAATGCTATGACTGCATCTGGACTAGATGATATTTTTCAACTCACTATATTTTTATAAACAAAATGAAAAGGCTAATAGATTATGAAAGGATAATTAAAATAGATTATGAAACGGAGCGCTACAATAAGAACAATCTGAAAGTACAACTGTATATTTGAGATATAGGAAGATATGCACATGATCCTTTTCCTAGCTTATCTGAAGTCAAAAGTATTCTTGGTCTTAGTCATAGGATTATTATTGTTGAAGTCAAACTTTGATTCTATTGTCTGCAAGCTGGGAATGCCTGATGACATCTATTGCCCATCTTGACAGGCCACATTGGAAAGTAATCTTAGAACAATGAAACATACTACATTTCATAATTATAACAATCATAATCAACTATCTTTTTCTGATTTAGAGTTCTTCAGCTGTTATTTTAATGAATATTAGTAGTTTCTACATTCTTTTGATATAATTTTCCAATGTACTATTCTTAGATAATTGAAGATACTATTCCAATGCCTTGAAACAGGTGCACAAACATTTCCAAACGCAACTTTTGGATGGGTCAATGTGAAAGATGTTGCAAATGCTCATATTCAAGCATATGAGAGTGCTTCAGCTAATGGAAGATATTGTTTGTGTGAAAAAGTGGCACATCACTCAGAAATTGTGAAAATTTTACGGGATTTGTACCCGGCATTGCAACTACCAGAGAAGTGAGTTTATTATTTTGATAATTTCAAGATTGCATACAATTCATAAAAATACATGAACACTTCCTCATTGTGCCAGAATATATTATTTGATGATCTGTAACTGTACAAAACCATTGTTTTATTGGCTTAAACAACATAATAACCTTCCCAAAGTAAGACTAAATATATGGTAAGTACGAATTTGTCCTAATTTACAATATCAATGTATCGTAATTTGCAACAGTTACAATAAATTAGTATACCACTAATCTTGGACAGTTACTCCAACTTGATTGGATATCTAATGACCTGCTCAGACTTGATGAGCTTTTGATGTATACCATATGTTGACTAGGCCTCGTGAATTGTAGCATGTATTCTTTTGTGTACGTAATATATATTCAGGCCTTGACACTTACTGTGACACATCGTTTCACCTTAGTTATGCTAATCTAATGATTAGCACCTCCCACTATTTTTGTCTCGGTATAAATTTGTAGTTATCCTAACATATATGTTCCTGAAATAAGGCAAGTATAACAACTTTGCATGTATAGGTCCTACAAATGTCATTTCGTATGAAAAAATCATTAGGATAATGGTCAGTATAATATGGGCACTACATGATTCATCATTCGGTCTAATTTGGTGTATGCATTTATATAATATAAATAAATCATTAAATTTGTTCTTGTTTTAATTTTTCTAATACCATTTTCACTCTGTCAATGATATTATCAGGTGCGCAGATGATAAGCCACATGTGCCAACATATCAGATTTCCAAAGAAAAGGCAAAGAGTTTGGGGATTGAATTTATTCCTTTGGAAGTAAGCCTCAAGGAGACTGTGGAAAGCCTTAAAGAAAAGAAGTTAACCAACTTTTAATTTGTGATAGGGAAACTTGTTTAGTTGGTGTTGTGATTTTGATGCTTGTGCTTATGAATAAACTTCCTAGAAATCTGTTTTGATACAAGTTTAGAAACGCTTTTGAAAGCTTTTTTATTGAAAAAAGTCTTATATTTCAATAGCGAAGTTCTCAAAAGAGTTTCTAACTTTTATCCAAACAAACTTTAAATATAAGACTTAAATCAAAACTGGTAGAAGTACTCAAATAAGCCATTATTGCTCTGGTTTGTACTAGTGACAATTATGTTTCAAGCATAAGGTCCTGGTATAATTTGCATTATAGTCTATCCTTATTATATTATATTAGCGGAGTTGAGGTTATTCGTGTTTTTATATTTATCTTATTCAAATAAAAAAGTAACCAATCTATTATGTTAATTCGTCTATTAGACCATCGTGTTTTGGTATTATTTGTCCATTAGATTAACTCATGTCTTTGTGTTTTCATTTTTATTGTGCTAACTCGTGTTAGAGTGTCCATATTTCTATTACGTTTAGTTTGATATATCAAAACAATTTCTCTTTATTGTACACTAGCAGGAAAAAAGTACTGTGTCTACATTGTATTAAAAGAAAAAAATAATTATAGTAGTTTCAAAGTAAAATAGAAAAAAAGAAAAGAATGAGAAGTTATTCATAAAAAAGGTAGTCTTAGAGAATTATGAAAAATAAACAAAAGATAAAATGATTTATGTAAAAATAAAAATTAAAAGTAGTTATTGAAGTAATATCTTCTTTATAGATTAGTATAGATTAGCGTGTATATTAACTTTATTGTACTACTAAATTTATTTCATACTAAGTGTCAAGTAAGAAGAAAAAAAAGAAGTCTCAAAATAATTCTCTTTATAAATTTTTATGCAATATTTGTTACATACTTTTCATTATATTATAAATTTATATGAAGAGAGATTAAATGACTCTAAGAGTAACTTCATTTAATAATTTATTATATATGTTAACTTTCAATTATTCAATCGTTAAATAAAAGAATTTTAATGTATAAATCAAATCTATAATTTTTTTTTAAAATTTGAAAATTATATGATACTTTATTATATAGATTCAAATTAACGTATAAAATACTTTTATAATTATCCGTTAGTCTGGATTAATAAAGCAAAATATCAAATAATTTTTAAAAGTTTTAAAATGCTGTAAGCTTGATCTAAGTATTAAAAAAATTTAATTTAAGGATTGAATCGTTAAAATTTAACATATATCATGAGTTATTAAGTGAAATAACTTAAGTAAAAACTATTCTTAGAGTCATTTGATTCTTTCTCTTAACATATTAAAAGTTTAAATGTGAGAGAGAGAAAAGAATTTGATCATGAATGTTTTGCAAAGTGTAGTGCGTGGTACAATTATGTTCTTCATTTTTTTACATGTTTTTTTTTCTTCTCGTTTTATTCTTTACCTAATAATATATTGTTGGAAGGGTGTCATGATATAAATGGGTGAGCAAAAATGTCCAAAGAAAAATAGAGATGAAAGGGATATATCTTTTTTTATCTATTGTTATAGATGTGTTAGATTATAAACTTTTTAGAGACTTTAAGTGAAATACCTTTAGATAGTGGGAAAACAAAAGAAAACTACAAAGTATAAGACACATCATTGTGAAAAAGAAAAGGATTGAAGAATAATTTTGTTCTATTTTTCGTTTAAAACTTCCTGGAGCCATTGAACATCTAAAAAGAGTCCAATAATCCATCTTACTCATTAATACTTAGATGCTTTAAGAGTTATGTGAGAAATTGTGCATATGAGAGGCAAAGTACAAAAATTTACTAAGAGAAAAGCAAAATAATAGAAGGAAATAGAAATAACTTACATGATTGGTGGGAGTGGATATAACTTCTCCTCAAAATTAAATTAATCCTATAAAATTTTATTACTATTTCTAATCACCTTTTAGAAATGATCGAATCAAAATAGAACCATGAAAAAAATTGAACTATTTTATTAATTTGCTCTATAAAATGTAAAGAGTGTAAGGAAGAAAAATTGGATAATGAGTTGATCTACAAATAGTACATATAATGGAAACAAAGAAAGTAGGAAGAAATATTGTAACATAGGAGTTCTTAGAATTGTTGTTACACAATAGATATGAGAATATCATTATTAATTAATTAGCAACAACTTATACTTAACATGTTTTTGCTTTTTGCTACTTCCTTTCTATTATGCTTGTTTTGGCCAAATGGTGTTACTTGTACCTTTATTTTAGGCTTATTAACAAAATTTATATTTTTGTCTTTTAAAAAAAAGTATAATCAGAGAGAAAATCAATAATTTTAGGAACATAATTAATGGAAAATCTTGAAGAAATGATGGATGATTCCTTCAAAAATTTGCTCCAAGTCCCTTGGACCTTCCTTGAGTGAATTTGAACGTGAAAATGGAGGAGAAATAGAGGTGAGGACGCAACAAAATTTGGAGTTTGGAAGCACCTAAGCCAAGGGAGCAAAGGATTGCTCACAAAACTGCTAATTCCTAGAAGTGTTCTAGGAACTCTAGAATTTCCTAAGCTATTTTGGGACATTCAAGAAGAGAGAATTTGGCTGAAGCAAATACTCTAAATATTAATCTCAAAAGTGAATATAAATGAGTGGAAGAGAGGATTTGATGGCAAACTTAGGTGAGGAGGATGAATGTTCTTCACCTTAAGCTTGCTCCGACCACTTGATCTTCTCCTTGAAGGTTGCTGGACGAAAATTCCAGCTAGGAAGAACCTTGGTGACGTGAAGAAAAAGGAAGAATGAAGAAGAAGGGAGCACCAAAGCAAGGTGAGTAATGGATTACTCACAAAGGTGCTAAACATAGAGAAAGTTCAAAGGAACCTAGGCTAGGTGAGAGTGACTTTGAGGAGAGACTTGGCTGAATAATTTTCAGAAATCTCATTAATGATTCAAAGTGTTTACATGATGAAAGAAACAAGCACTTATAGGCATGGAATCAAGCAAAGTGGCGCCACCACCATGTGCTCCAAGGTGGCGCCAAAATTTGAATTCAAATTCAAATTTGAATTCAAATTTTGGACATCCCACATGGCATCCATGTGCAGCCCCCCTTCTAGAAACCTTAATTACATTTAGGAGTAATTAGAGTTGCATTTGAGTGATCACATGTGCAGCCACCTTTGGCACAAAACATGTGACTCAAATGCAACTCTAATTACTCCTAAATGTAATTAGACTTCTATGATTTATGCCTAACACTTATTCCTTTTAAATTCCTATTCCCATGGCCTAAATACAATGGCCAAGCAAATACAATGGAAAGGGAAAATTACAAGAATGAAAATGAGCCCAATATTGGATACCAAAAACCCAAAGGCCCATGAAGCCCAAAACTAGGCCCATTAAGCCTATGGCCCAAAAATGCTATTCTATGTGGTCCAAAATACAAGACCAAAATATATGAAACCTATACTAATATAATATATACAAAATAGAAGAAAATGACTATCTCAAGTTATGGCCCATGTGAAGAGCAAATTGGGCCTTGACTGACCCAAGTCATCATGTCTAGCCCATTCCTCTTGACTCCTCCAAGATGTCACCTCTTGCCCTCCTAGGCATGATTCCATCAGGATTATATAGAGTTTTGAAGTGGTGTCATTCAAAGGAACACTTTGGCGCCAAAAATTGAATTCAAATTTGAAATTTGAATTCAATTTTTGTCCAAATGCACTCCAGCTGTGTGCAACCACATTTGTTAATTAATTAGGTATAATTTAGAGTTCATTTGAGTTTCATTTGGTGGTAGCCATGTGCAGTCCCCTTGGCTAATGCACATGTGCTCCAAATGCAACCTAAATGAATCTAAATTTGACTTAATTAACTAACTACTCTAATTAAGCCTTAATCCTATGATAATGACCTAAATACAATGATCAACATGTCACAAATACTAAGAAATGATAAAAGAAGCAAAATGAGCCTAATATTGGGTACCAAAATACCCAAGCTCCATTAAGCCCGAAAATAGGCCTAATAAGTCTATGACCTAAAAATTCTAATCTGTGTGGTCCAAAATACAAGACCAAAATATATGAAACTTATACTAATATAATATATATAAATAAAGGAAAATAGAGATCATAAGGTATGACCCATGTGAAGAGCAACTTGGACCCACCAAGCCCACGGGCCCATCGGGTTCTAAACTAGTCAAAATCTTCATGTTTAGCCCGTTCCTCTTGGGTCCTTCAATGTGTTACCTCTTGACCTCCTTGACATGATTCCATCATCCCCTCCCTCTTGAAAAGGATTTGTCCTCATATCACGTGGGTCTCTATGATAGACATCATCACCTACAATAATAAAATACCATGCATGAGAGGTGACATGTTCAAATGATAAGTATGAAAGATACACCCTAAGGGGAATCTTTCTATAAATTCTATCAAAGAAATTTACAGTAATGAAGCTAGACTCTCTAAGGTTAGGGTTAGGATCCTTACCTAAGCAAAGTCTATATGTGTAGCTAAAACCCAAAAATGTGGTGAAACTAAGACTATAACAATTTAAAGTAGTTCTAGCAACTAAAATATCTTGTCTAAGATACCCTATATAGTGACCTAGGCATTTCCTAAAAAATAAAGAAAAGACTACCAAAAAATTTCCTAAACAATTTTGAAATATATTATTTTTTAGATATTCATGAAAAGGTGTCAAAAGGAGACTTGAAGACTCATATAATCTAAATTTGTTTTGTAGGGAAGTAGTCAAGTTAAGTTCAATTAAATGTGAACTTCCCATAAGATCAAACATAGAATATAGAACACTATAAGTTGTATCTATCAAACAATATAAACAAAAAATTGGGTGCTTTATTAGAACAACTAAGGTAGAAGGAGTCTTAAAGAGAAGATGGCTATCTACCTTGGGCACCTCCAAGGAAGTAGCACAAGAAGTAGGACCAAGTGTAGTCCACTCCTTCTTCACTAAATCTTGAAGTTGAGATTCTTTTTCTTTAAAAATATTTTGTTCCCGAATCTCTACTTCATGAAAAATGGTAGCATAAGGGTATGACTTAAGGTATTTATGAATAAAGAGAGCATTTTTCAAATGATTTTTAGTGATAAAGTAACTCTCTTTAGTCATAAGTCCTTTAGAGGAGTCACTTTCCTCTTTACTCTTCCCTAAGAGAAATGTCTTTTTTTTTTCTTTCCTTTCCCCTTTTTCTTTTCATTTGCTTTTGGTCCTAAAAAACTTGTGAAGGTGTTAAAGGATCAAAGACAACTTTCTTGTTTTTATGAGTGAATTATATTTTGTTAGTATGGCCATCATGTAAAGTTTGTTTATCAA